GTAGAAAGCAATACTGTCCTGTAAGTCTCCTTTACTGGTCTTAACTGTGTCTTTTGCTGTGGGGTAGCATTGTAGAAGTTGCACACAGGCTACTTATAACCAAATTTCCAGATGTATTGGCAAGGACAGCTGATGAAACTGTGACTTGTGGCAACTTCTTTGGCATGGCAGGGACAAAAATTAATTAAACTTGTTTCTGCAAGTGTATTATTCACAAGGACAAATTGTGTGGCAGAATTTTAACATAAAGCATCCCATACTAAATAAATTAATAAATAAATATTTGAAAACATTTTAGTGAATGGATTTCCTGATTAATTTGTTTATTCCTTTGTTTAGTACCAATTACAAATTCTAGCAATCATTCTTAAATATTTATAACCTGATATTCATTGTGTGGTGTTATGTTGAAAGTAAAGCCAAAAGTAACTTTCTCCTCCAGGTCCAAAGCCAGCAACCTAACCACTGGCAGCCACTGTAGTCTCTACTGGCAGTATCCATTTAAAGACAAATTCTAAGTTGAATTTTGTAAGCTATGAGAAATATGAATTTATCTATAGGGAAAATAGGGCAGATGGACTTTTCACACTGCTTAAACTAAGTCTCTTTCTTCCTTGGACCAAAGTTCCAGAGCAGAGTGTGTGAGTCAAATAGGTCAGAGAAGCTGATATTTGTGTTCTTCGTGTGAATAGAAAGTGGACACCTTTTATAGAATTTATCTAATCTAAAAGTGTATAGCTGATAACATTATGAGAAGTGATTTGTTAAAATATTCAAAGTTATGCCAGAGATATACTGTGTGCTTCTGTACCATTCTGCATATAGATGTCCTGTTTTAAATTCATTGAAATGTCAATGTTTAGACCAAAACCCTAGTTTTCAGTTCCTCAGCTCTCAGTAGTTACTACTAGCATTAAAAATGCCATTTAAAAATGCTGGGTTTGAGGCATAGATGTTTGCAATTAAAAATATTAATTGATGTATGCCAGATTATATAACTTCAGGTTTTCATCAGGACAGTGATCTACTGGACCGGCGGAAACATTGCTTCAGTGTCCAGTCTGAATCTGGAGAAGATCTTTACTTTTCTGTGGAGCTAGAGTCTGACCTAACACTATGGGAAAAAGCCTTCCAAACAGCGACTTTTTTAGAAGTTGAACGGATACAGGTGAGAACAACTGCCTGATCACCTTTCGGTACATTAACAAATTAGGTGCATATGAAATAATGATGCAATTTAAGAAATTTTCTGACCTTCTGCAGTTGTCAAATTATTATTGTTTATCTAAGTAATTGCATAAGAAGCCTGTTGGTGTTCCCAAACAGCTTGTGATCTAACGTTCAGAAGAGATCACCTCAGATACAATCTTTGAGTTATTATGACTTGGTGATACGTATTTTTTAACTGAAGTTCATGGACAAATGCAGAAAAGCAATCCATAGATCAGGGACAAAAAGCAGCTGTTTAGATATCCTTACTGTCTTGCATGCTACTCTATTTGCTACTGGATTTCACAAGAGAACTTTGCAGGAATTAAGTTGTCCTTGTAATACTGGGAATGAGAGTACACTGAATGAAGTACTCACTGGATACAAGCAAGAACAAAATTGTACCTCAGATACACTATTCTTTCTTCAAACATTTCTTGTTTCTTATGTATTTACTCAATTGTCAGATGACAGCAGAGATGGATGACATTCAAGTGCCAATTACTAGTGAATTTTTATAATTTTAAATAACCTATGAGAGTATTTAAAGATAACTTTGTTTCCCTCGTATGACCAAAAAGTCATGACTTTTTTACTTTAAATAGGAGAAAAAACCACACACCACAATTATAACTTACCCAATCCTAGTTGTTATATTGATGTTCTAGTCATAAAATATACAAGTGGTTAGAACATGTTACCATGAGTTATACACACCTACCGGAGTTACATTAGCATATTAACCTGTGCAAGTATTGGCTCGTGCATTTTCTGCGTCATCCTGGGAATGCAAGCACTGACACGGTTTTATTCAGACAAATTGTTAGTTATATATTAGTCCTGTTCCAACTTACGAAGCACCACATGCAGACAGACCAAATTAGTATATGCTAATAATGATCCATTTTGGAAAGACTACAGTGCTGTCAGCTTTAATGTGTATTACCTTTGCTGGAGGAGCTGGAGAAGATTCAACTTTCCTCTTTATTTCATACAGTGTTACCTTCTACCAAAACTTTTCTTACCTTATATAAATGACTGCAACACAGTTTATAGAAGCATTACTGTGCCATCAATAGAAGAATATATGACATTTTTCTTGAATAATTTTTTGCCCAGAAGCCACTTCTTGTTTGTTCTATTCTAATATTGATTTATACTATAGCACTCCTAGTTTTTCTTTTTTCAAAATTGCTCTCATGCTTCCCCCAAATAATTTCCCTAATAATCTTAACCCCAGATTAGTCTTAACCATTGCACCTTTCTTTTCTCTCTCCTGAAGTTCAGAGTAGCAACTAAAAGCACAAAGTAATGATTTCCTGAGGCTGATTGATTTATTGATTAAAGCAAATCTGTAAAGGTGGATGATCGGATTTCTCATGATAGATTGTTATTGTGGAAATCATTATTTCAACTTTTTTTCTATATTTTCTCTATCTTAATTAAAAAAATATATTTTTAGTACAACTGAGTTTGGCCTCCTCATTTTCCTTTCAACAACCATTTCTGCTTTCATCCAGCAATTTGAAGATGCAGATAAAACCTGGTGGTCTAATTTGTCTCTAAGTTCTTTCACTGTGAGAAAAAAAAAAGGTGACAGGTTCAAAATTAAGGTATCACCTGTACAGTTTTACTAAAATTATGGCTTATTAAATCATATTCATATGATTGTTTATATTTAATATGAATGATAATCTATCTGTGTGCAGGTTTTCCTTACAATAAAGTCTTATGATTTTCAAAATATAACTGCAGTTTAAAACTGCCTTTTAAAATTATTCAACTATTCCATAATCATACCAATAATAACAGCTACTCAGTGACTATAATTTGGCATTAACCTCCACAAGAGGTTAATAAGGGCCCTATTCTGATCTAATTAAAAAGAACATATAACGAATTAAAGTATTTTTAAATGCTGCATTATAAATATATAATTTGAGGTTTTTTAGAAAAGAAATGTATTACAGGAGGCATCATCAAGCTGATAATAATTTAAGAACATGATACCATAATTTAGTCGTATTTTGATGTGTTAGTTTCTTTTTTGTTAGTTTTGTTTAGTGTAGTAAGTGATGTTAATCCATTTTCCTTATTAACTATTAAAAGAAAAAAAAATAGTTGAAGATCCTTTTTCCTTACTATCTCACAGCATTGTTGTATGAAGAATCTAAGAATGCTCTGGCTTGCACAACGATGTGCAATTATATATGACTGTCACGTTTCCTTTGTGTTCCTGCTACTTTTCACCTCTTCTGTTGTGACTTTTTTTATTGCTGTCGTTGTTTGTATTGTAGCTGTTTGTTCTCTAATATAAGGTTTATTATGTAAACAGTTTTGTGTTGCAGTACTTTAACATTTGCCTTCATTGAAGTTGAACCGGAGTTTGAAAGTCTGAATTAAGTCTTAGGTTTATAGTATGGTTTCCTTCAGTTTCAGAGATAGCTTAAACTAAGCTCTCAATGTATTGTTTTTTCCATAATTTAAACTGTATGTATTGAGGAAATAAAATCTAAGGAACAGCTTCGGTTTGTCTCCTTCAGCCCCTGCCTGATCCATTGAATTATTCATAAACCCAATTTAAGATTCTGTATTCTGTGAGAGAACAAAAAAAATGTATGCTGGTAAATTTTACTTCTTTTGGGAGGGGGATGCTTCAGTTCTGATAAAGTTTTCATGAGCTCTATGTGAGAAATCAGCAACCAAAGCCAAACATTCACAGTATATATAAATAAAAGTCACTTTTAAGGTTTTAAAATATTTGTTAAAATAAAAGAAATATGAAATTTTCCTGTATCTGGGGAACAATTTCTGCATTTTTTGCTTTCTCAAAGAAAATAAAGATGAGAAAAATCTTAACAAAGTTAATTAGTGTCTAAAAGTTCACACTCCTGCTCTGAGCTGTGAACCAGAACTATGTGCAAGTGCATACAACACATGCATAAACCAAGGGACATTTTTCCCCAAAGAAACTGAAATCTCACTGTCCCAAGATCTTTTTGTTATTCTCACATTTTTGCTTCTCTGAATTATTTTGAACATCATGGAGTACATGATCCAAGGGTATAAAGTGGTCTTATATATAAGTAAAGCATCAGCTGCTACTGGTGGTCTGCAGTTTCTTCCTACAAATAAATACACTGAGCTGAACTACATGATACTTCATCAACTGCACACTGCCTTTTGTATAAAGAACCTTCAATCTGGGAAGCAGGTTGGTTTTTCAGTGCAACCCTGAACCAAGACTGTGTCCTGTTTCTCATAAATCTTAACTTCCCAATGAGGCTAATTAGACCAGGCACAGTGCCGTGCTTAAGCAAAGGTAGCTGTGCCAGCTCAGCACGGTGCTGCAGTGCACACTGTAGGTTCACCTCTGGTGTTGAGGTGTGCAGTTAGATGACTTTAGATGACTATATATATTTTAAATCTGATATACTGTCTCCTTGCCAAAAATTAATTTCTGGTAGAGGCTTTAAGTCTGTTCCAGATCTTGGAGGTTTACAAATTAAAATGTAGTTTGTATCTCGTTAGAAGTTTGCAATATAATTCTACAAAACTGTAAATTTTTTACTTTGCATGTAAAACCTGAACATTCTTGCATATATGAATTCATTAACTATAAGTAACTGAAATATATTACTTTACATATATAGTTTATATATGTATTTTACATATATACTTTATATATGCGCTGTAAACTTAACTCCAACCTTAAGTTCAAACCTAAAAGGGGCGGTATTCCAAGGAGGACTCTCCAAATTAAAAGTCTTCAAACAGTCACAGTGAGAGACAGATTCCAAGCAAATCTTCCAACTAGGCTCGAAAATCATTCTATAGATCCCTCTCCTGAAACACTGACAACATATTAAAAACAGCATCCTGCAGTCCTCTGAAGAATCCTTAGGGTTCTCCTTCAAGAAGAACAAGGAATGGTTTGATGAAAACAATCAAGAGATCCAGGAATTGTTGAGGAAGAAGAGAACTGCTCACCAAGCACACCTTGCACTGCCATCTTGTCATGTAAGAAAAGCAGCCTTTCATCTTGCATGCAGCAAGCTCCAACAGAAACTTCGTGTCATCCAGAACAAGTGGTGGATCGATCTAGCTGAAAAAACTCAATTATGTGCAGATACGGGTGATCACAGAGGATTCTATGAGGCCCTGAAAACAGCATACGGGTCTACAAACCAGGTCAAAAGCCCTCTACTCAGCGCAGATGGGCAAATGCTTCTGACAGATAAAACCTCAATTCTGAATCGTTGGTCTGAACACTTTCAGACTCTCTTCAGTACCAGCCATGTAGTTCAAGACTCTGCAATTCAGCACATTACACAATAAGCGGTGAAGAATGAATTGGATACTGCCCCCACTATGGAAGAAACTCTTAAGGCCATACAGCAGGTGAAAACTGGCAAGGCACCTGGGGTTGATGGAATTCCACCTGAAATCTGGAAGCATGGGGGCCTTGCACTCCATGCTAAATTTCACGAGTTTGTGGTGTGCTGTTGGGAATGAGGCGAACTACCATCAGAGCTTCGTGATGCAGTCATCATCACTTTGTATAAGAAGAAAGGAGATAAATCAGACTGTTCAAATTACCGAGGTATTACTCTGCTCTCCATTGCTGGCAAAATCCTGGCAAGAATACTTTTGAACAGACTAATACCCACTATAGCAGAAGAACTTTGTGGTTTCAGAGCCAACAGGAGTACCACAGACATGGTATTTGTTCTCAGACGACTGCAAGAGAAGTGTAGGGAACAGAACAAACGACTCAACCGTTGTTAATCTCACCAAGGCTTTCAACACTGTGAGCAGAAAAGGTCTGTGGCAGATTTTGGAACGTTTAGGATGTCCCCCCAAGTTTCTTAAAATGATCATCTCACTTCGTGAGGATCAGCATGGCCAAGTCAGATATGGTGATGTACTTTCTGATCCCTTTCTAATAACCTTCAGCTGCTTCCTTTGAGAATGCACGTAGGATCACTCTCTAGGAGAAAAGACAATACAGAAAGAATCATGTCTTGCCAATATCACCTAAGGAGTCTTTCTGCTGTGTCTTTTGCAACCGGTCTTGTCTATCTCATATTGGCTTTTTTAGCCACCAGCGCACTTGTAGCAAATATGGGTAGCGCCCTTCCCAGATCTTCGTTCGCGAAGCCTAGCCATGATACTTTTTTGTACTAATGAGATGGTGCCACAGACAATATCCTCTTCTTCAATAACATTGATTTACAATCAAAGTTTACATATTCATAGCAGATTTATGGTGTAGCTGATCTAAGAAAAAAAAATCCAGTTTTATTTGCTTATATGAAAACTAGCTGTGACGTTTTCAATTTTCCTTCATTGCAATGTGTATTTCAACTGTTAGAAGCTGTTAATGCACCTTTCAGCTTTTTATGTTCTGGGGAAGACCATTTAGAATCCAAAGAGCCCACTCAAAGAATATATAAGTAAAGGCATTTGATTTATCCTTGATAATCAAAATGCCAAAAATAGTCATAGGTACTTTTGTAATACTAGCAGTTTAGTAACTCACATTGTTACTATATTTACAATTTATATTTTGATACTCTGACACATTATAGATCATGGAAGTCTTTGTTATCATTTCATATTTTTAGTGGCTACATCAATTTCTGAAGAATATACCTGTATTTAATTAAATCTGGAGGGTAAAATGTCTATAAAATAAGAATGGCTTCTTTAAAGAACTTGCAACAGATCTGGAAATGTTTTAATTTTTTCTTACATATTTTGTGATGAAAAATACAAGTCCGTCATTTTGTACCTGAAGTCAGCCTCCAAGCACAGCTATAGTTTTGATCCTGAAAATTATTTTAATAGATGTCTCATGGCATGTGTTGAAGTGTGATGTTACGGAAATAAATAGATGCATATATATAAAAATTTTGGAATGAGAAAGTCTTTCAGGACTTCAAGGTTTATCATAGAAATATTTGAGATATATTGGTCCACTAGCTGAAGCAAAAAAGGTATTTCATATGATTATACGAGTTGCTAAATTGTATGAAATGCTACCTTTTCACTGAGATTTAGGACAACACAGAACCACAGGAAACAGCATACCAAAGAGATATTTTACATATGATTTATTTTTTCCTAAAAAGCTAAAGAGAATATGTTAATGTTAAAATTTACTGAGTATGAAAAATAAAGAAGAGGGTTTGAGAATAATAAAACTTTGCTTTTAGTAATTTGCACTGATAAGTCACTGAGGCAATTCTGATGCAGTTTAATTTTTTCCCTAATAGCAGGAAATCCTCTTTTCACATTACTTAGATAAATTCATCACTCATCAAAATTCTTTGATTTGAAATACACTGACAATAAACGGATGTATTTACAGACAAATTACTCTTTTCTGATAATAATATTGAGAAATATAAACATTAGAATAAAGACATAGAAATAATGGTTCTAGAAAGTTTTTTAAGAAATGTGTTCTGTGGTGACAACCTTCTCTGGTTTTTCTTTTACAGTGCAAGACATATGCATGTGTTTTGGAGAGTCATCTTATGGGACTTACCATTGACTTTAACACGGGCTTTGTTTGTTTTGATGCTGCCACAAAGGTAAAGTTCTAAGACTTTTTTCTATAACACTATTATTATTCCTTGTTTTTTCTAACATTTTGAGATAAGTAGTATCCTTAAAATGTCCTTCTCTTTGTTATAGAAATAGATCATCTCTTGTCAAATCTCTCATGCTTTAGTTTAAATTCAGGACTGATTTCTGATTATGTGAGAAGTTGTCTTCTTTATGTGCTTGTTATTGAAAAATCAATACCAATATCAATCTGAAACAACCATCAGATCTTGATTCTTTAATTTCACATGAAAGCCCACACTGATTGAGTTTGATGTTTCTTTTGCTGATGTGTCTTTGGTTTTGAGAAGAAATAATCTTGGTTTCAAGCTGGTCTATGAGTTTTGAAAATAACCTTCCATTCTCTTCTCTTGTTTCATGAGTGAGAGTGTGTGCTATTATAGCAATTCCCAGTTTCTGTTTTAGATGTATTTTGTTCAGGTGTCTGTAAAAGTATAAATCAACCATAGTCTGTACGTCTCACCCATCAGCTTTTCCCATCAGCCTCAAAAAAAGCTCAGTACAAGTGAGGAAAGAGTTTACTTTATTCAGTAAATAGTATGGCATCAATTTCCAGATTACATTATTGCAAGTCCAAATCTCAGTAAAATCGTTGAGAGCCTGAGTATGTTGACAATTGTACTAATTGTTGGCAAGTACTAAAATGTAAGCAGGCTTTAGTGTTACTACTTGACATTGCTGTTATGTGAGAATGTGAAATCTTTCTTCTAAGTTCTGCTTCTCTTCAGTACCTGTTTTATTTTGAGATGCTGCAATATTGCCACCAGCAATTGCTGGAAATGCCCTTTTGACTACAGAATATGCTCTTATATTCTATCTTAAGTCAACCCTTCCCACCACATTACTCTGCTCATCCGAACCCTTTTATTCTTCCCACTCCATTCTGCTGTTTGTTTGCACAAAGAGTGGTAAATTTGGAATTCAAATACTTATGTATGTATGTTTCTTTTTGTTATGCAAAAGACCTTGAGTGATTCATCAGTGAAATGGGACTATCAGTTTAGAGGGTATTACACAAAAAATCAGTGCAACAGAATTAAAATGCAGTGGCTCAGTAAAAAAAAGTGAACTTTTCCTCACCCTTCAATAATATTTTTATATATAATACCTATATAAAATATGTATATAATATATAATGTGTGTTTGTATATATATATGTATGTATAATATTATAGAATCATAGAATGGTTTGGGTTGGAAGGGATCTTAAAATTATCTAGTTTCAACCGCCCTGCCGTAGGCAAGGACACCTTCCACTAGACCAGGTTGCTCAAAGCCCCATCCAACCTGGCCTTGGACACTGCCAGGGATGAGACATCCACAACTTCTCTGGTCAATCTGTTCCAGTGCCTCATCACCTTTAGAATAAATTTCTTCTGCATATCTAACCTAAATTTCCACTCTTTCAGTTTGAACTCATCACTCATTGTATTGTATGTATTGCATTGTATGTTAGAATAAAATATAAATAGCACCATGAATTAAAAAAAAAAGATGTTGTTTTGTTAGGCATTAGGCAGTGTGAGGTAAGGATGGCAATTGCATTAGAAGAGAAACAATACAGTAGAAAGAAATATAATCTTTTGCCAAGTGACTGATAGAATTAAAATTGCCAAACAAGCCATAGGAAGAAAACTTGTCTAAAACCTGTTCTAAGTGTGTCAACCACATTTTAATGAGTGCCTAAAAAGGAAAAATATTACCTAGTCTCCATCATTTTATGGAAAGATGAAACCTGCAATTCTCTTAGCCAAAAATTTATTCAGGTATCTTCATTATGATGACGACAGGTGTAAGTTGTGTCTATGCTGGAATGTTCTTCAACAATATTGCTAATCTGACATAAACTGAGACATAAAGTAGACATGTATAGTCACAAGGGCTAAAAGTAATATTTCTTCACATAATGGAGTTCATATGAAGCAGGAAATCAAAATCTATTTTCCAAGAAAATTCAGAGAAAACAATGAAGAATGGAAAGCAGTTTGCAGGACAAGAAAAACATGAATAAAATTTAAATTACATTTTCTATATCTTATTAATATTTACATCTACATTTATGGATTAAGACTGTACACAAATCCTAAGAAATGTCCCATGAATTAAGATACTCAGTATTAAAGACAAATTCATTATTTAAAATTTCATACTTTTAATGAAAAAGATACTTACATATAATTCTTTATAAGTCCTATGATTTTTTACAATTTGTATTTGAGAAATCAGTACAAACTATCATCTTTTCACTTTCAGCACTGGGGTATCCACAGCTTTTTGGAGCAACCTCTTCCACTGACTCACCACTCTCATAATAAAAAATGTCTTATATCTAATCTAAACTCTACCTTCTTCTAGTTTAAAAGCATTGTCCCTTGTCCTGTCACTGTAGGCCTTGGTAAAAGCTCTTTCTCCATCTTTCATATAAGCCCCCTTTAACTGTTGAAAGGCAGCAACAGGATCTCCCTGCAGCCGTCTCTTCTCCATCCTGGATAGCCTCAGGTCTCCCAGACTGCCTTCATGGGAGGGGTGCTTCAGCTCTCTGATCATCTTAGTACTCCTCCTCTTGTACATGTTCACTTCTGCTATTTTGGCACTGCTCATACCAATTTCAACCACTCTTTTTTGGGTAGAGCTTAACTCAAAGCCATATTCTATTGACTTCAGTGTCAAACTGAACTGTTCATTCGGTGTGTTTCTCACTTCTCACAGAACAACATAGCAAATTCAAAATGTTTTAATGAATTCAGAGAAGATCTTGAACAGGTACTTGGAGAACAGATCTAATGGATATCATTAAATGCTTTATTATTATTATTTATTTATGACACTTACAGATTTTCCAGAACACAAAGATCTTCATAAAACAAACTAGTTTCTGAAACAAAGTAGTTTCTGGGGACACCTGAGAAGCCCTGTCTTATATTTTGTTGCAGTGGTGCCTTCAGTAAATCTTGAGGCAATTTAAATTTTATCCTTAGCATTGTGCATATGGTATTTTAAGTTTTCTTTCTTAATCACTAATCAGTTGACTGTGAACTGTCTTTAAAAGTTCATAATCACTAATAAGCTAAGTAAAGGAAGCCAAGTTCTTTAACTCATGATTAACCGTTATTCAGCTATTCAATTATTCCAGTTATGTAAGCAATGCAACAATATTTAAATTGTTTCTTTCTCTTACGTTTTAAGTAGATTAATAAGTTTTGTCCAACGTGACTGAAAAACTGCATTCAAAATTTCACAAACGTTCTAAACCCCAAACTCACTTCCAATTTTCATGAACAAGTTTATAGAGGGTAATGGCTCTCATTATTCTTATGGTTTCCAGACAAAAGCCGTGCAACCCTGTGTGGCTTGTTTCCTTGCTTATTATCATTTAATCTTTATATAATACTTAACTATGTAAGTTAAAATAAGTGGTTAAAAACTGTCATCTGTGCTAAATGTATTTCAAGTTAAACACATCATAATTTGATAAAAACATTGTTTCTGTCTGTACAGATGGATGATAAATATGAGTACACAAAGTATTAAACTGAGTTATTCAGAACAAATCTGTACTGTGATGTGATTATAACAGCACTGACATAAATCATGGCTGTTTCTGCTGCATATTCCCTTCTTCCTCTTATTTATTTTCTGACTGATAGCTCTTAAAGTCAACAGTACTTCATCATTTAGAGCATTTGGTATGTTGCTCTATTGCTATTGTTGTTTATAACAAACCATTGTAATTTCCTGAAAGGAGAACAAACAGTTTTTAAAACTGCTTAGTTAAATCAGATTCTTCCAACATTTCAGAAAATAATTTCTTAATTCAGTTAAGCAGTTTATAAAATACCAAATATAATTTTGGACACAAAATAGTTCTTCTCCCTGAACCTTAACAAGTAGCAACAAGTATATTTGTGTCCTTGTTCTTCTGTAGCACTTTCCAGAGCTAAGGCTTCTGTGCAAGATGTCATCTCTTTTTATTACTAACAAGGTATGGTATGAAAGCAAACTGTGACATAGAGGCCAAGCAGACATTGGCAAATGTCTGATTATATTTATTTGTGTGATGTAGTCCTTCATTTGCAGTAAGTATATACCTGGAGTCAAAAGGCCTCCTGCTTCCTTTGTTGGTATACATGGAAGTTTAAATCCGATCAATAGGGAATTTCCCCACAGCATCTCTTCCACTAGGGATTTCTTCATAAAAATGTCCACCAGTTTTAATGCAATGTCATTTGCTTTATTTGTAATACAGGAAATTTATCTTGTTTATTTGTTTTTAAACTATGAAAATTCTAAAAATAAGCAAAACGTTAGTTTGATCTAACTTGATCTTAGAAGTTATAAACCGAATTTTACCCTAGGTAATTTTTGCAGCATTGTGTATCAATCTCTACTGGAGAAAATATTTTTCCCAAGTCCTGCACAATTACAGCACAGCAATTCAGGTCCTAAATTTGTCTAACATTAGCTAGCAAATAGACATCAATGTTTTAATGAACAAATATAACTCTTGTGGATAATTTATGTTAGGTATGGACATGCACATATATTATGATAAGCATTTATAAATAAGGTTTTGCAGCCAACCTTAAGAATTAATATGGAAACTGCTAGATTACACAGATTAACAGAATGTGTACAAAAATTTATCTAAATACTATTCTGAAAATGATCCAATATGTGAAACTACTTACTTGAGTGGCATTCAATAACTTACTTTTAACATGCTCCTAACAAAAAAAAAATTGACTATACTTAAAGTGTATGGGTGAATATATGTAGACATGTATGTTATGCATATTTCTGTTTATACTGGCATATTCATTAGATTTTTTTTCTAAAATGTGCATATTTGCATCATAACTTCTACGAATAATATATATGTTTGTGTAAATATACATTGCAATATACCTACCTGTGCAAAGTGCTATGACTGTACTCCATCACATTTACTGCTCATTAAACCAGCAGT